AGGGGGGGGGGGGGGTGGAGGCTGGGGATCACAGCAGGCCGGGAAACAGAGGAAACAGAGCAGGGAGCTCAGTCGATTCCTCGCCGCCGCAGCACATCCTGCGGCGCGGTCCGCCACCACGCACCTGACACCATGGGTCCACGCATGATGGCGCTGCCCTGCCCCGCAAACCCAAACGACACCGCCTTGACCCCCTCATACTCCACCGGCGTGATGGCCTGCACACGCGGCCAGGCCCGGGTGCAGGCGCACGTGAGCGCCCCGTCGGCAGCAAGACCCTGCCCTGCGCATGGCCCACCCATCCACGCCATGAAGCCACACGCGGCCATTCCCACCCATCCCGGGTCACGCACCCCCACCCACCAGCAGGCGCACCCCACCTTTGTCTCCGGGTTCATCTGCAGCACCCGGATCTCGGGGCTGATCATGGTGGGCAGCGAGGGGCCGTACACGTCTGCGTCAAAGATGCCCACCTTGGCCCCCATCTGGGCCAGCGTGTAGGCCAGGTTGACGGCGGTGGTGGACTTGCCCACACCTGTGCAGGGGGCGGGGAGTTGGGCAGGTGGGTGCGGGTGCCAGGGGACCGAGGCTGAGCGCATGTGAGCGGGACAGGGGCCGCAGCGATGCGCCTCGTGGCCCAGCCCTGCTGCCCGCTATCGCCCCCTCCCACACCCCACAACAAGAACCGCACCTAGCCCCTGAACCCCCACACAGCTGCCCTGCCCCATGCTCGCTGCCTTCCACCTCCGAGGCGCGAGGCATGCTACAGCGTGCCGGAGCGGCCGCGCGCTGGCACATCAGCGCACCTCCCTTGCAGCTGGACACGGCAATGACGTGCGACACGCTGCGCAGCCCGCTGGGGCGGCTGTCGTCGGGCAGCAGCGGCTGCGGCGGGCGGGCGTCCATCTTCAGGTCCAGGCTTTTCACCCAGGGCAGCGCAGTCACGTACTCGCGTGCCTGCGGGGCAGCCAGGGGAAGGGTGCGCCTGCGTGTGGAAGGAAGTTTGTGCCTGCGTGTGCGGCCCTGCTTGGCCAGGCAGGTCCGCTGCCAATCCCAGGCCCTGCCTCGCAGGCAGCACGCGCGTGTGCCAGGCACCCACCGCCTTTTCGAAGTCGTCCTTGATGGGGCAGGCGGGGGTGGTGAGCTCCAGGCGGAAGGCCACGCTGCCCGCCTCACCGTCAACGGCCAGGTCCTTGAAGAACCCGCCGTCCACAATGTTCATGCCAAAGTCGGGGTCGATGATGGGGGACAGCGCCGCCCGCACCTCGCCCTCCTTGGACACCACCGCCGGGGCGCTGTTGCTGGCCTGCCGGCCCGAGGGTGCACGCGAGGGAGAAAGGAGTGGGAGGCCGAGGTGGCGGCGGGGGCACAGCGGCGGTGGCGGCGGCGGGCAGGTGCGGCTCACCGCCTCGGCGGACGCGCGGCACGACATCCGGGTGGCTTTGGGGCTGCTGGCTCGGCTGCTGCGAAGTTGGGTGGCCGCTTGGGGCAGCCCCCCGCCCGCTGGGTGGGGAAGCACGGCCCGAGGGGGGGGACCTGCACGGGTGGCGGTGCCCACCCTCCATGGTGCCAGCCGGCCCTGCGCCCAGCTTCCCCTGACGTGCTGGGCAAGGGCAGGCGGTAGGATAGAAGGGGAAGGGGCGGGGGCGGCCTGGGCGCGTTCAAAACCAAGGGTAGGGACCTGGCCCAGGCAGGTCAGGCCTTCCGCGTTTTCATCCGCCGCTCGTTTATCCCATCAGGGTGAGGCAGTACTTGGGGTACAAGAAGGCAACCCTGGTGCAGCGCATTGGCAGCCTAGTGAACCGGCTGGGCCCGATACAGCAATTCCTCATTGGAAGGGCCGCAGGGGAGTAGGGGCAGCCAGCCACGCCTTCGCTTCCTCTTGCAGCAGCTTGCGGTGTGCAGCAGGAAGCGAGTGAACCTCTGGCCTGGCCAGAGGTGACACACCGCGAGCTCAGGACCGCTACGCCAGCAGCTTGGCCCGCTTGGCCCGCGGGCTGCAGCAGACTAGCGACAGCTGTCGCCCGCCGCACTGCCGCCGCCGGGATGGCCACCCGCACGACTGGCCGGCACACGACAGTGGCGACCTACAGCGACTCGAAGTTGCAGCGAGAAGTCTCGGGCTGGAAGCCGGTTGTGAATCAGGGCATGCACAAGGAGAACCACGCACCAGCGACGGCAAACAAGCAGGCTCGGGGCAAGCCCTCGGCGGGTATGGGTGCCACCCGATCCCTCCGCTGCATGCTCCCTCCCCAGCCGCATGTCTGGGCGTCAGCAGCATGCCTGACTGCCCCACGCGTGGGCCGCCTGCAGGATCCGCCAAGAAAGGTGGCGACAAGTGCTGTGCATGCCTCGACCTGCAGGCAGAACTTGACAGATGCCAGCAGGTGTGTGAATGCGCGTGCGCGGCCAGCTGCCGGAGCTGGCAAGTGCTCCCTTGCTGCTCCACCGGGATGGAGCAGCACTTACACTGTAATCTTTGCTTGCGCCGCAGGCTCTGTCAGCCAGCGAAGCCGAGAACCATGAGATGAGCAGTCGGATGGCAAAGATGCAGGCCCGGTGCGTGTCCATCGCTCGTCCCAGCACCTGCCGCTCGCACAGAGCAGCACTGTTGTATGGCTCCCTGCGCCTGTGAGTGGTGCGATCGGCCCTGCACCACGACTGGCCAGCTAAGTGACGTTGTGCCGTGCTGTACGCCTGCCCATGCTGGCCGCAGGCTGGAGCTGCTGGAGACCCTCGCTGCCCAGGAGGTGTGCAGCAGAGGGGCCCAGACCGACGAGGCCCTCCTCTCCGACGCATGGCTCCCCGCTGCGCGCCGCAAGGGGGTGCCACGCCGCCTGCCGGCGGGCCTGGTGCCGCTCGTGAAGACTGAGGCAGGCACGGATGAGGAGGCGGCTGGGGCAGCCGGCGTGCCGCACAGCGGCTGCAAGCGGCGTCGACAGGCATCTGATGCTGTGCATCAGGCACCACCGGCGGCAGCAGCAGCGGGATCAGCAGCGGCGGCAGCCCGCATTGAGCTGTGTGCTGTGGATGCGGGCGGTGCGCTGTCGGCAGCGCCAGCAGGTGCAGCGCCAGCACCCAAGCCTGCTGCCCCTCCGGGGGCAACCGTCCCGGCAGCTTCACAGGTGATTGAGGAGCTGGCTGGTGCCGGTGCATCATGCAGGAGCCCTGGCAGGCAGCCGCGGGCAGCAGCAGATGCAGCAGCGCCAGCTTGCACAGCCAGCACCAGTAGGGAGGAGCAGCCAGATGCAACTGTCAGCCAGCAGCGGCAGCAGAAGGAGACAGGAGAGGGAGGGCTGGATGGTGGCTGCTGCACTGTCAGAGCCGATGCCGCAGCGCCGCAGGCCACTTCAGACGGCGTGCCAGCCCAGGGCAGGGATGCGGTTGAAGAGCTCCCCAGCGCTGAGACCAAGGCCAGTTCGCCAGCTGCAGCAGGTGCTGCACCTGCCGCCGAGCCAGTAGCTGAACTGGAGAGCTTGGGATTGCCTGGAGCAGCAGTGCAGGCTACGGCAGCGGGGACTTCTGCGGGTGGCTCTCCAACAGTTGGCGGCGATGGGTGCACCGTTGAGCAGCGGGGCGATCTGCTTCTGTCGCCACTGCCGGGGATACGGCTGGAGGGGCAAGCCGCCAGCCCATGCCGCATCAACTGAAATCTGTAATTCCCTGCATTGTGTGTCTTGTTTCCTACCAAGCCTGGCTGATGCTTGTCACCCCGACCTTGCCCGCACCCACCTGCCTTCTTTGCAAATGGGGAGAACACTGCTTGTAGCCAAGGGCGCATAGGAGGCTTTGTGGTGGATGGCGCACCAGGACCAGTGAGTCAAGAGCAAGCAGCGTGCTGCAGGCTTCGACAGCTGGGTAGGTCTGTCGGCTGCGCGGCGGCTTGGTGGCAGGCGGGCCAAGCCACTGCAGTGGGCGTGTATCAGGGTCAAAACAGGACGGCCAAACTGGCATAGCATCCATGTATGCGAGGGACGTGCTAGATGGGGCAACATGGCCTGTTGGGCGGTCGGGCGGCAGGACGTCGCACGGCATGAGCTGGCGCCAGCGTGCCGGTTGGTTTGAACTCGACCTGCCGCAAATCGCCTCCGGGCCGCTTCGGGTGATGTCCACACCATGTCGACGCGAACTAGCGGGCGCAGGGTGCAAGCCGTGGACTACAATGAGAAACAGGCAGGGGGCAGCGTGCCGGCCTGGACTCGGCAGATGGAGGGATCTTCGTCTGGAGGAAATCACAAGGAGAACAGCAAGCCAGCGGCGGCTGGCAAGCAGCAACCCAGGAAGAGCGCGCCGGCAGCTGTTGCCGTGAAGGGCAGGGATGCGGGGCTCACGCGGCTGCCCATTGGTGAGCGAGCCGGCACGAATGCGCAGGGATGCGCCGGCCGGTCTGGCGGCAGGGCGCAACTGCCGGCGGCCTGTCGACGCCGCCCTGCTGCTGCTGCCTGGCGCCCTGCGCCCAGCCCCCTCCCTTTTCCTCCACCTGAGCTGCCTGCGTCAGAACGCTCTTCACTTGCAGAGGACGCCAAGGCGGGCAGCAAGCCAGGCAGCGGCAAGGCCCGCAGCGGCAAGGAGCTGGTCCCTGCTGCCGCTGGCAAGCAAGTGCTTCCAGGTGTGGTGGTGAAAACGGGCCCAGCTGCCACCGCCAAGTCTGGGCCCAGCAGCAAGGGCGCCTCAGCATCTGCCCTGGCGGCGGCCGGGCACGCGAAGCCAGCATCCAAGCCAGCAGGCAGCGGCGGGCGTGGCAGCGGCGGATCCAAGGATGCCGGCACCAGGCCCGGCTCGGGGAGCGGCAAGCGCAAGGCTGCTGCTGCTGCCGAGGAGGGCGCGGGCAGGCCGTCCACCAAGCCCGCATCCAAGTCGGCGCCAGCAGCAGTGGCGGCAGCCGCGGCGCCTGCGCCAGAGGCGAAGCGACACAAGGCAGCTGCGCCTGCGCCAGCCGAGCACCAGGCCCTGCAGCCGCGCAACACGCGGGCGGCGGCAGCACCCGTGCCAGACCTGGATGGTGTCGGCAGAGCAGCAGCGGACATGGATGTGCAGCTGCCGGGCAGCGGGGCGGAGGATCTGGTGGAGCAGTATGCCGCAAACTTTCAGGAGCTGCAGGTGCGGCCCTGACAGACAAGCACTGGGCAGCCGCGGCAGAGCTGGCGACGACTGCCGGCTTGCAGTCCCCGCTCTGATTGGGGGGCACTGTGGTGGCCTCGAGTCCTTGATTTCTGTGCCTGGGCATCAGCCCTGCTGATCCTGCCGCTGCTTCGCTCGCCCTCCCGCCGCCTGTGCCATCCTGCGTTGGGTGGTGCAGGCCGAGTACGGCAAGCTGCAGGCGCTGTACGAGGACCTGAAGGCTGCCAAGATTGACGAGGAGGTGGCGCTGCTGCTGGAGCAGCAGAACAAGCACGTGACGGAGCACGGCCACAAGGCGGCGCAGCTGGCGGAGCACTACAAGGCAGAGGTGGGTGGCGGGCAGAGGTGGGGGCATGGCGCGGGCGGCAGAGGCCAAAGCGAGGCTGCGGGAGAGCTGCTTGCTCCTGTGCTTCTTGTGCATGTGCATGGGCGCCCTGGCAGCCCCATGTGACATGGAGCAGCGGCACGCTGCATGCCTTGCCATCGATTGCCGCCGATGCCGTGCGGGATGCAGGCGGAGCATCATGCGGCGACCGCCGCCGAGCTGGGGGGCGGCGCTGTGGTGGAGCAGTGCCACAAGCTGCAAGCTGACCTCATGACCTGCCAGCAGGTGGGGTGGCTGGGGCCCCTGGGCTGCCTCGCCGCACACGCTTCGCACGATGTGCTCAAGCTTGCATTCGGTGCGTGGCAGCGGTTGCATCTGCTGCATGGCTGAGGCTAGTGCTGCGGGCGTGTCGGCTGGGGGCTGCGGTGCAGGCTCTGCTGGACAAGGAGGCAGAGTCTCTGGAGAAGAGCAAGCAGATGGGGGAGATGCGGGCCCGGTGCGCTTGGTGCCTGGCGCAGCTGTTGCTCCCACCACACCATCTGCGCAGCGCTGCCCGTGCAGGGCCTCCCCTGGCAGTATGCTACCATGCTGCTTGATCGTTTGGCAGCCTCACCGCGTGGATCCAGCGCCACACCAGCCGGCCTGGCGACTGATGCGTGTGCTGCGTTGCGCGCTGCTGCGCTGACGGTGCAGGCTGGCCTTCCTGGAGCGCTTTGCCCGCACTTACGACTCCTGTGACAAGTGCATCCAGACAGACCCGCCGCCGCATGCCAACGCCTCGGCGCAGTTCCCTTCCATCCAGGTGCAGGGCGGAGCCCTGGCCGTAGCAGCTCCGCCTACGACAGCAGCGCTGCTTTCTGGACTTGCCTGGCAGCAGGCAGCGGTGCATGCGCTGCGCCAGGCATCTGTGGGCTGGTTCGCCGCTCGGCTGGCGCTGACCTGGCGCTGACCTGGCCGCCCGGTGCCCAACCCCCATCTGCACCCCTGCAGTCGTCTGGAGTGGAGATGCTGCAGGCGCACGCGCTGGTGCCTGAGGGTGCAGGCGGCGGCAGCATCTACAAGCGGCCAAAGGCGGGCGCTCAGCCGGCGGCAGACCCCTCCTACACCCTGCCCGGCCTCACCCCTGCGCCGGGCGTGGCAGGGGATGGCGGCGCTGCTGGTGCAGCTGCGGCAGCTGACGGCGGGGCGCCCATCTCTGGCAGTGACATGCAGCTGACGGGAGGTGACGAAACGCAGCCGCAGCAGGCGCAGCCGACTGCGCAGCAGCTGGGAGAGCCTGCGGCGCCAGCGCCGGGCGCGGCGCCAGCGCCGGGCGCGGCGCAGCGCCAGCAGCCGCTGCGGCCGGCGCCACAGCAGCAGCAGCAGCAGCGCCGGCAGTCGCTGCAGCCGGTGTCTGGGCGCGTGGCGCACGCTGCCGCTGGGCCCGGCCTCCGCCCGGCCAGCGCCGAGTCTCAGGTGCAGCCAGCGCTTGTGCCAGGCGCTGGCGCGCAGCAGCGGGCGCTGGCGCCTGGTGCAGGCGGCAGCCGCTGCGTGTCAGCGCCGCTGGCACCCACCGACCGCCAGCTGCGGTTCTCTGGATCGGATCTGTCGCTCCATGCCGAGGCCGGCACCCAGGGCTCCCAACCGCTGCCAGCAGTGCCCGAGGAGGAGCAGCCGGCTGCCTCGGAAGGCGCCCAGCAGCAGCGCGAGGCGCCCGTAGCCACCCCACCCGCCGCGCCGACCCCTAGCCCGGCCACCGCAGCGGCGGCTTTGGCGGTGGCTGGAGCGGCGGCTCCCACACCGGGCTCCGTGCCGCCGCCGCCTCGTGAGCTGGCGCTGCCCATGCTGACGGGCCTGACCTTCACCCCGCTCAAGGGTGGCTCCTACCAGTTCACAGACCCACGCCACGGCTTTGTGTTCCTGCTGGGGCCAGCCTCTGGCGACCCCGACTCTGTCGGTGAGTCGGGGCCGGCAGGCGCGAGCCACCGCCGCATGCCTGTACCACCGCTGCGCGGTCCCGCAACAAGCAGGAGGCCAGCCTGCAGCTGGGGCTGATCAAGAGCCGGCATGGTGCATGTACCGGCGTATGGTGGCCACACACCCTAAACAAGTGAGCGCCGCATGCTGGCCCCGCCCTGCTGCAGAGCTGCCTGGTGAGGCGACCGATGCGGAGATCTGCTACCGCCCCGTCAGCCTGGGCACCGCGGAGCGCTTGCTGCCTGGCTACCTCAAGGAGGAGATCACCTTCCGAGAGTCGCAGGTACTGCATGCATTGCAGTAGTTGTATTGCATCATTGGTACTGCTGCGCGCATTTGGTGGCAAGCCCGCTCTGCCTTGGGGGTTACCACAACAGTATGTGTGTGCCCCATCCCGCGTGTGCAGCGCGGCAACTTCGTTTCGCAGCTGCTCGATGCGCTGGCGCAGAAGTGAATGTGCTTGGGGACGGGGGGAGGCAGGCGGCGGAGCTGCTAAGCCAGGGCCCAGGGAATCATCCAGCAGACTTTCTGACTGACGCTCCAGAAGATGCAGCAGCCCACTTGCTTGTGTTATCAAGCTGTGAATGTCTTGCTTTTGCTTTTTTCACCCACACTGCGACCATCCAAACTTGCTGTCTTTGGAATGTGTACCTTTATCACTTTGATAGCCTGCTGTGGAACCAGCATTCACACCTGGCCCAATGAAACATTGATGGCGGGAAGGCACTGCCAGTGGTGAAGCCAGAGGCCCGCCACCCTAGCCACTGCCACCCGCTCAGGTGGCCAGCACCTTGCGGGGCCCAGCACCTGCTGCCCGCACAGGGGAGGCGCTGGAGCTGGCCAGGCGCACAAACTTGCTGGGGCTGCGGGTGGCCTGCTGCGGGGGCTGCTCCGGGAGGGCCTCGGGCGCCGCCGGCAGAGGCCCGCCGATGAAGCCCACCCACACCCGCGGCGGCCCCTGCTGCTGGCCGCGCTGCGCGGAGCCGGGCGTGCCGCCTGCGGCCGCCGCTGCGTAGCTGGGGGGAGGCGTGCCTGGCTCGGGGCTGGCGGCAGCCGAGGCCGGCCCCTGCCCCGCCAGCAGCGCCGCGGCGGCATCGTCCTCCGCCGTCTCGTCCCCGGTGCGGGCGTCATACAGCACCCAGCGGCTGCCGCCGCCGCCCTGCTGCAGCTTGAGGTGCAGGCGGCGCAGGCTGGAGCGCAGTACCCTGCAGGGGGGAGGCGGGGGGAGCACGAGTGCAGGCAGCATGCTCTGTGAGCAGGCCAGCTTCTGAAAAGTGACTCGAGAGGCCCAAGGCGGGTGCACTGTGGCGAGCATAGCAGGGCCTTGCTTGCCTGTACAGGCGGTTGGCCAGCACCACGCAGTCGTGGCGCAGGATGGTGTTGCACCCCTGCTGCAGGCTCATCTGCAGGCGGCGGCGGCGGCGCGGCAAGGAACGAGATGGGGGCGGCGGTTGAGCAGGATGCCAACCGCGACGACCTTCTGGCGCAGATTCCCAAGCTGGCGTGGGAACCTTGTGAGAAGCTTTGGCGAGAAGCAGCCAACATCCCCCTGGCTGCCACTGCAACCACTCCCAGCTGCCCCCGGCTGCCGCCGCCCAACACTGCCAGGCACCCCAGCAGCGCCAACCACTTCCACCCACACTGCCAACGCCACCACCCCCACCACCCGCCTGCGTGCGAAAGTCGGTGATGATCTTGACCAGCCGGCCCCGCAGGTTGTCCACGTGGAGGTGGGGCGGGATCTGGGACACCACGCGCAGCGGGTCGATGTAGCCGCCAGCGTGGTCCAGCAGTGCGCCTGACGGCAGGCACGGCGCGGCGGGGCGGGCAGGGCGCTTTCAAGCTCGGGAGGCGCTCTCAGTGGCGGCGCAGGTGCGTGTGTGTGTGGTGGTGGGGGGGGGGTGCATGTGTGTGTAGGTGTGGTGGTGGTGGTGCTGGTGGTGGCAGAGGTCACCGGCACAGCTGCATGCAGCAGCAGCAGCGGCAAGGCGGCAGGAGGCGGGCATAGCGGCAGCGCAGGTGCCGGCGCGGCGGCGGCCCAGCGCCCGCCCGCCTCCCACCCGTCAACTCACCCGTCAGCTGCGCATCCCCCAGCGTCAGCGCGATCAGCTGCTCCCACAGGTCGTCGTCCCGCTGCAGCTGCACAAACTCGACCGCCTGCGGGGAGCGGGCAGGTGAGGGGCGGAAGGCGGGATGGAGCGGTATGGCCGGGCCGGGCAGCGAGGCCGGCGGAAGCGGACTCCAGCCGGGGCGACCAGGGCGACCGCCGGGCGGCCGCGCCCCACCCCAGCCCTCCCCACGACGCCCACACCGGCGCCCACACACCACGCGCACGCCGCCGCGCACAGCCGCCCTGCGGGCGAGCAGCCACAGCCACAGAAGAGCAGGGCCGGGGCTTGCCTGCACCACATCTCGCAGGCCCTCGATGATCAGCCGCAGCGCCTTCTCCGCCGACCCCATGCGCCCCAGCACATACACCATCTCGCGCACCAGGCCCCGCTGCTCGCACACCTGCGGTGGGCAGGGGCCGGGCGCGGCGTGCGGGGTGCCAGCCGGGGCGGGCGCTCAGGTGGGGACGCCGTCGAGCTGCTCAGCCCGGACGGGGTGGGGTTCGGAGCGGTCCAGCAGGGCAGGGAACTCAGCTAAGGCCGCTGACGCTACCGCTCCTCCACCCTCACATGCACGCTGACATTCGCCATACACCGCAGCCACCCCTGGCCATCACCAACACACGCACAACAGCACAGCACAGCGCGAGCGCATGCCACGCACCTGGTAGGCACGCTCCAGCGGGTAGCTGGGGGAGACCATCAGGAAGTGAAGGAGGCGGGCGGGCTCAAACTCGGCGTACAGCTCCACCTGCGGGGGGCGCACGGCCGCGCGGCGCCGGGCGGCGTCAGCCAGCCGTGCTACGACCACCTTGCTGCCTTGAGCTGGGGTCGAGGCGTCTCCGTTTGTTTGACTTTCTTGTCAAACCACTGGAACAATTAATGGAAGACTCTCATGTGGCTAGGCGGGTGTAGGTGAGGCCCCACCTGCAGCTCCGCAAAGGCGCCCCCCAGCTGCGAGTCCTTTTGGAAGAGCCAGTCGAGGTAGTGGTGCAGGCGGCGGTGCCAGCGCTGGCACTCGTCGGCGCCATCAGCCGTCGCAAACGCGTCCTGCATGCGGTGTCGGCGGGAGGGAGGGGAGCGGGGCGAGGTATTGGGTGGGAGGGAGGGGAGCAGGGCAGGGGTTGGGGGCAAATGCAAGGGAGGGAAGGCGGGCAGGGGCTGGTGGGAGGGAGGGAGGCCAGCGGGCACCACCCCACCGCCGCCACCGCCCACAAACTCGCCTGCAGCGCCGCCACCACCTCCCCGGGCGGCACCTCCTCGCAGTGCTCCACCAGCAGGCTGGTGGCCCGCACCTCATCCAGGTCCACTAGGGCTGCAGGCACAGCAGCAGGAATGAGCTGAGGCGCGGGGAGGCTCAGGCGTGGCTGGCAGGTCGCCGGCACGGCGTCAGCCCCGAGGAGGCTGAGCGAGGCATGTGGACAGTGAACTGGCCACTCGTCCGCCCCAATCCACAACAACAACGCCCAGCCCAGCCCAGCTCAGGCCAGCCAGCGAAGCCGCCCACCACCCACCTGCTGCAAAGGGCGAGATGCGGTCGATGAGGGCGTGGCGGGCAATGTAATCGAACACGGCCTGGCTGCGCAGCTGCAGGTGCAGCAAAAGGAAAGAGCTGGTATGAGTTGCAGCAGCTAGGGATGGCGGCGACAGGCATCCACCCAGCCCTGACTGCATTGGCGCTTCTGCACGCCAGAGCTCGCCCGGCAGGCGAGAATGACACGAAAACCACAGCCGGCCGCCTGCGGCCCTGCCCCGCCACCCACCTGGAGCATCAGCTTCAGCGCCTCCTCATGCCTCCCCTGCACTGTGTACAGGTGCGACGCCGCCTCCTGCAGCACCGGCCAGTCGCCGCTGCCGCCCATGCGGCTGCACCACAGCAGCAGCCGGGGGCGCCGCTCAGCTCAGCCCTCGCTCAAAGCCGCTCCTCGGCACTGGGCTCCAGCATTGCCCATGTGGTGGCGGGTCTGTAGGCCACTGGCATGCACCCGCATCCTCTGTGCACCGCAGCACGCCGCTGGCACCGCAGCCCTCCAGCGCACCGCCACCCACCAGCTGCTGCTGCCGGCACCGCCTCTCACCTGAGGATGGCAGCCTGCAGCTGCGGCACATCATAAATGTCTGGCGGCCAGCGCCTCACCAGCTGCAGCAGCACCTCGTGGTCTGCAGAGCGGCCATGGGGAGCAGCAGGGTTGGGAGGCACGAGCAGAGAGGGAGGGCAGAGGGAGAGCCAGGGGAGGGCAGAGGGAGGGCAGAGGACGGCACAGTTTCCAAGCGTCTGCCCGCTCGGCCCACCACGAAGCCGCTGCCCAGTGCATGGCCCGCCAAGCCCGCCAGGGCAGCCAGCCAGCCAGCCAGCCTGGCTGCCTGCCATGCACCCACCCGAGGGGTGCAGCAGGAAGGAGGAGAGGACCAGGTCGTAGGTGGCCGCCTTGAGCTGCGGCGACTCGGTGGGCAGGTGCGGCGCCAGCGCCGACAGCCCGCGCACCTGCGCAAAGGTGAAGGCCCAGCGCTCCCAGGACATGGCATTATGCTGCAGGCAGGGGGGGCAGTTGGGAGGGGAGGGGCGGGGTGGGAGTGGGCAGTTGCAGCACTGGGGCTGTGTGACCTGGTTAGGCGTAAACCCAGGTCAAGAGGGTTTCAGGGTGGGAAGTGGGAGATGTGGCAACCCCTACCTGCAGCCCAGGCCGGCCCACCCACCTGCAGGAGCCTGGGGCACAGCCCGGCAGCCTCCTCGCACCGCCCAGCTTCCAGCAGCGCCTGCAGGTACTGCTCCCCAAGCGCCTCCCGTACCGCCGACTGGACTGCAGCGCAACGGGGAGCATCCGCCGCGCCCCCAAGTCAGGCATGCGCCAGATGCCGCGGCACATGCACTGGGCTTTTCCTCAAGGTTGTTAGTAGGCCACTGCAGCGTGGCTGCATCGCCGAGGGCACATAACGGGGAGCAGCTCGCGCTTGCCTGAGCGGTCCTCGTCAGCAATACCCAGCGCCTCGGCAAACCGCCCGCGCTCGGCCAGCCACGACACGCGGTCGTTGCCGTCGCGAGGCCGTCCGACAACAATCTCCTGCAAAGGAGCGCATGCCGGCATGGAAATGCAGGTGAGCAGGTTGTAGCACGGCAGCGTTGACTACAGCGCAGACGGATGGCCAGAGAAGAAATAGATCCAGGTGGGTGAATGAGGCGTTGCTCCTGTTCCCCTCCCTGTAAGGGAGGGGAACAGTACAGTACAAGTGTGCTCACCGAGGGCGTGCACACAAAGTACAGAGGGTCCTCGCCGTCCCGCCACCACTTGTACTGCTGCACCTTCTGTTGCCGCCACTGCTGCTGCTGCCCCTCCACCCCCTGCTCTCGCTGCTGCTGCTGCTGCTGGTCCTGTTGCTGCTCATGCTGGCGCTGCGGCTGCATGTCTGTGGCTGCATGGGCGTGCTGCCCTGCAGCCTCGCCAGCCCCGTCAGCTGATGTGCTGTCCACAGATGGAGCGGTGGGCGAGGTGGCGTCTGAGGGAGGCAGGCGCGGCTTGGACGGAGTCGCCCTGCCGCTACCGGCCACGCTGCCTGCCCGGCTGCCTGCCCGGCTGCCTGCAGTGCTGCGTGCGGGCAAAACCGGGGGCTGGCTGCCTCGTGGCGGGGTCGGAGCGGCCGCTGCCGCCAGCCGCAGGTCTGCATCGCCCGGGTAAGAAAGCGCCAGCTGGTGCCAGCGGCGCTCCGCAGCGGAGCAGCTGCTCCCCAGCGCATCCGCCGCAAGCAGCTGCCCCTGCCGGCTATAGAAGCACAGGCTCAGCTGCTGCTGAAGCTGTGGCGGCGGCAGCTGCTGGGTGGCCGCGTCGGATGGCGACGGCGGCGTGCCGTCTGCTGCTGCCACCGGCGGTGCGCCACTGTCGGCTGCCGCGCCTGCTGCAGAGTCGCCTTTGGCAGGGCTTGCGGAGGCTGCCGCTGCCTGGCCGTCGGCAGGGCCGTCCTGCTCTTCTGCTGTGCTGCTGGCAGTCAAGATGATGCGCCCGCCGGCCGTGCTGCTGCTCACAGGCAAGCTGTCTGCGAGCGGCGCGTCGCTGGCAGGACCCCAGGCCAGCACGGCAATGTCCGCCCCAAACGGAGCCGCCCCCAGCGCGGTGCAGCCCGTATCGAAGCTGGCGACAACCTGGAGCGTTCGCCCCGCTGCCGGCAGGAGGCCCGGCTGCCCCAGGGGCAGCAGGCTGCCCACCACCCGCACCACGGTGACGTGGCGCGCCCAGGACACATACAGCTCGCGGTCGCCGCGCCACAGCAGGCCGCAGGGCGCGGCGGGGTCGGCGGCGGCGCTGGCGGGGCGCTCCAGCTTGCCCAGCCGCGTGTGGGTGGCGGTGTCATACACGCTGCACAGCAGAGACACCAGAGCAAAACAGCGAATTGCAGCAGGGCCAGTGGTTGGGCAGGCAGAGGAATCAGCAGCAGCCAAGGAGCAAAAGCAGCAGGAACAGTGGCAGCAGCAGCAGGCGCAGCAGGCGCGCCACCGAGTGCGCAGTCCCGCTGGCCGCCTGGTGCTGGTGCGGCAGAGTGACCCACCGCAGCCCGGTGTCGGTGGTCCAAGCCAGCAGGGTGCCGCTCATGCGGGCGCAGCGCAGCGGGCCCCTGCCCGTGAACAGCGCCGTCTCCTTGTTGCCCAGCCAGCCCTGCTGGCAGCCAGCCGGGTTCCGGCAGGGTTCAGGCCAGAGGTGCAGGCAGTGCTGCGCGCTGCCGGGCACGCTTCCCACCGGCCTCCCGGTCGCAAAGGCAGGCCGGGCCAAGCAGGCTGTCTGTGAGCTGAGAGTGCAAAGCCGCCCCACCTTGGAGCTGAGCACGAGGGCGCCGCCAGCCGTGCCGTACACCAGCTCTCGCGTCTTGCGGCTGGCATAGCGCGGCTCCAGTGCCACGGTCTGCAGGGCGGGCACATGTGGGATGCGACATGTACCAAAGGCGACCTGGAAACTTCAGCCAGCCGTGCCACAAGGCAGCCGGCGAGGTTCCTCGTGCATCACATGCCAGGTGCGAGAGGCAGCAGGCGAGGGGGGATGCCCACCGTGACGGGCTGCCCGATCTTCAGCCGCTGCACCTCCTCGCTATACAGCCCGTACACCTGCCGCAGGGGCGGCAGCAGCAATGACCGTCACACCGGGGGCAGCAGGGCAGCAGGCAGGGGCACTGTGAAGCGATGGAACTGGTCCGAGCGTGCGTAAGAGGCATGGTGAGCGCCTGCCCAGTCGCGCATGCTGCCTCACAGGCTGCGCCTTTCCGGCCAGTCCCCTCCCTGCTGCTCTACAAGCAGCATGGGCAGGCAGGCAGGCAGGGCTGAGCTGGCATGCCAGCTGGGCAGGCGCACCGCGACGGTTCTGTCTGCGGAGCCGCTGGCCAGGAACTCTGCGCCGCCATCAAAGCTCAGGTCAGTGACCTCCCGGGAGTGCTCCCTGAACTCCCTGACCTGCAGGGGAGCGCAGGAAAGGGAAGGAAAATGGCCTTGCCTGGCACCAACTCTTGGCGAACGGGAGTGGCGGTGGCGGCATGGCGGCGTGGAGGGCAAGGATGCAGTACGGCGCAGTGGCTCCCCCCCGCCACTCGCCTGATTCCCCAGGTGGTCTAGCAGCTGCACCGACCCGTCCCGGCGCCCCACCGCCAGCACTTTGTCCGAGACGCACAGGCGGGTTATGGCCGAGTGCAGGGTTTGTGCCCGGGGCGATCCAGAGTCCAGGGCCTCATATTTGAGGCGGGGCTCATGCTCCTGGGCGTCGATCGCTTTGCCAGGCGTAGCAGGGCTGCCCTCTGCGGCGTCCGCCTCGCTGCTGGACATGTGGGGTTAACACATTAGCATTGCGATCGGAGCGCGATGATGGTGGGGACCTCCGCCCATTGGCGGTGGGACGTGGCACTCGAATGATTGCCCTCAGTGTTTCTGAAAGCTGGCGAAATCGCCAAATGCTGGCGAAATCGGGCAAAAAACGGCTCTGGCTGGCGATTGGCCGAAGGCCATCGCCAGCCAGAGCTGGCGAAATGAGGGCAGGCGGCAGGGCATGGTCGCCAGCCCGTCGCCATCCCCCATGACTGGCATCGCCAATATATTGAGGGAAAATGGCCAAATTTCCTCAGGAACTTCATTCCATAGTGTTAAAAAAGCGCCAGCTTTCTGGGGGCTTCGCCCCCAGTCCCCCATAAAGGGAGGCAAGTGCCGACAAAGCAACGGCGGCACCGCATGCGTCCGCTGCGCCGCGCCAGGCGCAAGGGTGGTTCCCCCGCATTTCGCCAACCCCCACTGTGCCATCGCCAGTTGATTGGCGAAATTTGGATGCGACAGCGGTCCTCATCGCCAGCCCATCGCCAACGCTGCCACGAGGGCCAGAAACACTGATTGCCCTCGAGCCTTATGGCGGCCCTGCATCACGGACATCACCTCGCAATCGATCACCACAGCCTGCTATCGGATATACACAACATCCATTGCCCTGAGAGCAAGGCTGGAGCTCACACTACCACGCCACTCCACCATGCCCGCTCTTCTAGCCCTGCAGCCCTGCAGCCAAGCAGCCTGCTTAAGATCGCAATGTTGCAGCGCCTGGAGGGCCCCAGCCAGCTTCCGCTGGCAGCAGCGGCGGCTGGCGCCAGGGCGGCGGCACTGCCGCCCGCTGCTGGCGGCGGCCGCCGACGGGCAGCCCGATGATGCCCCCAACAGCAGCCGCCCAGCAGCAGCGACAGCCTGGAGCAGCTGGCGGAGCTGGCCGACCTCAACCGCCTGCAGACGGCCCTCAACACCGCCATTGCGGCAGAGGACTGGCAGCTGGCGGCCGGCATCCGCGACCTGCTGCGCTCGCTGACTGGCGCCGACGGCAAACTCGCCGCCGACTGGCAGGGGCTGGGCATCCGGGACTGGCTGGCGGACCGTGCCGAGAGCCTGGGATTCACCTTCCCCGCAGGTGAACATGAAACAAGGGGGGACAATGAGGGACAGCAGGGAAGAAGCCTTGGAAGCAAGCAGTCTTGCGTCATCCACGAAGCCGACACCCATCACACAACAGAGAAGCCTGTAATGTCTCTCCTGGTCCTTGACTCTCCCGTTCACCCACCCGACCCGAACCGTGCCTGCCTGCCTGCCTGCCTGCAGAGGTGCAGAAGCGGGCGGCCCCCGTGATCCTGGATGGCGACGACTGCATCATCCAGAGCGAGACCGGCTCAGGCAAGACGCTCTCCTTCCTGCTGCCGCTCCTGTCGCGGCTCAGCTACCCGCCCCACACCTTCCCAGACGACCTCAAGGTGGGCGCCGCACAGCCCTCGCCCTCGCGGCGCGCTGGCGGCACGCATCAGCAGAGAGCGCCTGCCACAAGCTGCTGCACTGCTGCGCTGCCTGGGGCCCGCCCACACGTCCGCTGCGATGGCATGCCAAGCCGCCCCGCCGCCCCTCACGCATGCGCGCGCGCGCGCGCACGCGCACACACACACACACACACACACACTCTCGTGCATCCGTTGTTGTCTGTCGCTGCAGGGCCCCGCAGCGGTGGTGGTGGTGCCCACCCGGGAGCTGGGGGTGCAGGTGGTGATGATGGTGTACCGCCTGTTTGGAGGGTCCGTCAACCCGGGGGTGCCCGGCCTGGGAGGCAACATGTTTGATTACCACGGCCCTCGCGGCCTCAAGGTGGGACCGCAGCGGGGGCTGCGGCGCTGCGAGTGTGTCTGTGCGGCTGTATCTGTGTGTGTCCATGGCTGTGGGTGTCTGGCTGCACGTGGTGGGGCGGCTGTGGCGCGGCACGGCACGCCTGCCAACCTGCGACATCGTGCCGCTGGGCCTGCGCCCTGCGCCCACCTCGCCGCTCCGCCGCAGGTCAAGGGGCTGCTGATGGATAGCGAGGTTGTGCTGGCGAAGAAGGAGAGCTACCTGCGGGGGGTGCATGTGCTGGTCGGTGAGTGTGCGGGACGTCACAGCAAAGCCAGCTTGCCTCGCATGTGTTGTGTTGGTGAGGCACAATCGGTGGCCTCAGATGCAGTGTGTGCGGCGGCGTGTCACTGAGGGTGGCGGCCGCACGGCAGCGCGGATCTCCGCAGCAGGGCAGAGCAGGGCAGCAGCCAACCTTCTTGCTGTGTTGCCGCGGGCTCCGTTTTGTGGCTGCCCCGCGCTGTTGCCTGCAGGCACGCCCGAGCTGATTGCGGAGGCTCTGTCGCCACCCGAAGCAGTGGAGGCAGTGCAGCATGTGGATGTGGTTGCGGTGGACGAGGTGGATGCCTGCTTCCAGGTCAGCGCCAGCATGGCACAGCATGCATGGCACACAGCACGGCACGGCACAGCAGGCACACCATGCAAGCCGCCGCAGCTGCAGCACAGCATCTCGTCGGCGCGGGCTGGACGGAGCTCTCGCCCCTACCATCCACGCCTCCATCCGTCCGCCGTGTCCCGCGCCGTGCCGCCTGCTACTGGGCCGCTGCAACGTGGTGCCGCTGCTGCCGCCTCCCTGCCCGCCTGCAGAGCCACCCGCAGGAGATGGAGCTCATCATGGCAGCAGCCTGCCAGCGCCCGCAGCCCGCGCAGTACGAGCAGCAGCAGCAGTGGGAGCAGCAGTGGGAGGGGCAGTCGCAGCAGCAGCGGTGGCAGCAAGGCGACGGCGACGCGCAGCAGTGGGAGGCGGCGGGGGATGGCGAGCCGGAGCAGCAGCGGCGGCACAAGCCTGTGGTGGTCCTCGTGGGGGCCACACTGGATGAGCCGCTGGTAGAGCATGTGGTGGAGCAGGTGGGCGGCTCGGGCTGCCGGGTGCCCCTGCACCTGCCGCTGATGCCTCGGTCCCTTGGGGTTGGCGTGTAGGAGGGGTCAGGGGGCCCGGCACGAGTGCCACCTGCCAGCCAGCCAGGAATGCCCAGCTGCCGGCCTGGCGGGAGCCGCTTCCGCTCGTGCCCCGCCGTGTTCCCTCCCTGAGCCGCCCTGCCCGCCCTGCTCCTCTGCACCCCGCTCCCTTGGCTCCCCTCCTGCAGGGCTGGGTGTGTGACCCGGTGACTGTGCGGGTGGGAGGCCGCATGCGCATCCCCAGCGGCCTGCAGCACCGCTGCATCGTGGTGGGCGACGAGGCAGAAAAGGTGGCCGCCATGTGCCGCCAGATACGAGCAGACCTGAGGGGGTGAGCTGGGCTTGGGGTGTGCAGATGCCACTGTGGCAGCGGGCTGCCGCTTAAAGACGGCTGGCGCACCTGCCGCAGAGAGAGATGCAGCATGCGGGCGTGCAGGGCAGCGCTCGGCTGGCCAATGCCTGCCCTGTGCCCCGTGAACTTCTGCCGCTTCACGCCAGCCTGCTGGGTGGCTGAGAAGGCACACAAGTGCCCGCTGACCTCGCCACCCCACCTGAATTGCCCCCTGCTTGTTCTGCTGCAGGCAGAGCGAGGACGCGGCGCCGGCGCGCGTCATGGTGTTTGCGGGCAGCCAGGAGCAGGCGCGGCAGCTGTCCGACCCGCTGCGCACCGTTCTGTGGGGCGACCACAAGATCTCGGTGCTGCTGCCAGAGGGCACGGAGCCCATCAAGGCACTGCACAGCTTCCGGGACAACAAGACCACGCTGCTGCTGGCCACGCCCGCCGCGGCGCGCGGCCTCGACCTGCCGGCCGTCAGGTGCGGGCTGGGCCGGCGGCACGCACCTGCATGTGTTGTGAGCCTCTGCTGTGCGTGCGACCCGCACCATGCAGTGCCAGTTATTCATGCCATCAGCGGCCCGGGCCCTCCAGCACGTGCTTCCGATTTAGTCATGCTGGTCCTGCATGTACTGCTTGTACTGCTGCAGCCACGTATACAACATCGAGCTGCCGCTCAGCCCCACCGACTACCTGCACCGCGCTGGGCGCTCGGGGCGCATCGGGTCCGCAGTGCAGGGTGGGTGCACACGGCTGCCTGCCTGCTTGCCTGGCAGGGCAGCTGGGAGGGTAGCTGGCGGGGTTCCTGTGCTACCGCCCGCCTCTGTTGAGCAGTCTGCCAACCGGCATCTGCGATGTGCCCATTCTGCCCGCCCCTTGCCCCACGGTCCGCTGCAGGCGTGGTGACCACGGTTGTGACGCGGGAGGAGCTGCCGCGGCTGCAAGCCATGGCCTCTGAGCTGGGCGTAGCCGTCAGCGAGCAGGCACCGCTGCTGCCCGAGCTGCCGGCGGAGGTGGAGGGCGGCGAGGCAGATGTGGATGCCGCGCGGCGGGGCTTGGAAGACCTGTTCAACCTGTACTGAGCTGTACTGAGCTGGCGGCGCATGCCCTGCACACGCACTGCCATGCCTGCTGCCAGAAGTCGCATGCGCCAGCGCTTGACACCTACTGCTGCTGCTTGGCGTGTTGTATGTAACAACGCCCAGCAAGCAGGAGCCAACAGTATCTTCACAGCTGCCTTGCATGTGGCGGCCCTGACGATCACATGCACGCAGCTGCTATTCTTTCATTTCAATCCCTCAAAATAAGGACATAAAAGACTAAGCTGTTGCCCTTGGCGCACTACTGCCCGGGCTGGCACACCGCGCCGGCTGTCGCCAGGAAGTGCTCGGTGTCGGCGGGCCCTTTGCTGGAGATGCGCAGGCCAGGGCGGCGCCTCTTCAGGGCACTCAGCTCATTGGACAAGACCATCTCCAGGCCGCGATTGGCGTAACCTGGGACCTGCAAGGCAGGCATGGGGGTCACGTGTGCTTAGCCCCGGGCGTGCAGCAAATCCGGGCGCAGCGCAGGGCAGGCGGAGGCAAATGCTGCCGCAACCTGTGCACCACATCAGAACTTCCCACGGGCACGCAGAGGCGGGCGCCACCCACCTCCAGGAGGCGCAGGCTGGGTGCCCTGGCTGCCCACGCCCAGAAGGCTTTCCAGCCGGGCGCCTGTGGGTGGCGCCGCGCGTCCAAGGTTGCGGGCAAGACACATATGTACCGCACTTCCTGCGCCACGCCTGGGCTCCAGCTGCTGCTGACCAACGCCGGCCAGTCAGAGAGCACAGCCGACAGGCCCTCGGGCCAGGCCTCTGGGCAGAACATGGCTTGCCCGCTGGTGTTGCGGTTGCTGCCACGGCTGCCCCCATCGTACAGCCACCGCAGGCGACTGCTGCCCACCAGCGCCGTGCTGGGATCCAGCAGCCGCGTCATGGTGCCCTTGATCGTCAGCGTGTGCAAGCGGGTCAGGGCGAGCAGCGTGGCCTGGAAGCCAGCGGGCACGCCGCCATAGTGCGCCGCCCACCACCCGTCGCCATACTGCGCCGCCCACCACCCCGCACTGCGCAAATGCAGGGACTCCAGGCCCGTCAGGCGCTGCAGGTCCGCAGGCCAGTCCCCGCAGCCCACCAGGGTGAGGTGGCGCAGGCTGCCGAGGGCTGTCAGCACGCTATACCCGCCGTTGTCGATTTGGCTGCTGCTCATGTCCAGAGTCAGGCTGTCTAGGCCTGTCAGGGCAGCCAGCTGCCGGGCGCGGGCCGAGGGGCAAGCATCAGCATCATGTGGATGAGCAGAGCTGGGCCGGCATACAGTAAACGCGTCCCACACTCCTCGCTGCCGCACAGCCTGCTGGCCACGCCCACCTGTGGTGGCAGCCTGCTCTTGTTGGCATCCGACACTTTCTCCAGGTCCAGGCGGGTGATGCTGGGGGGCAGGGAGGCGAGGCCTGCCTCCCACTTGCAAGCGCCGTGCAGGCTGAGGTGCTCCACCGCGCTCAGCCGAGCCAGCGGGCAAGCCATGTGGATCGTGCCGCTGCCGCAGCTGGTGATTGCCAGCTGCCGTAGGGCGGAGCAGTTGGTGCAGGCGGCCAGCTCTGCACCCAGCTTGATCTGCTTGGACCCCAGCCACGCCAGGGACAGGCAGCGCAGGCTGCCGCCGCTGACAGCCACCACCACGCAGCGGCCTAGCTCCAGCTGCAGCGCCGCCTTGTTGCCGGGCGGGGCGCCCACCGCGATCTCCAGGCAGTTCTGCAGGCTGCCTGCGTGCCGGCGCAGCCAGCGGCACAGCGCTTGCAGGCGCTGCAGGTGCGCCGTCTCGATGCGGGCAGACACGCCTTGGCGCAGCAGGTCGGGCGCGTTGGTGAGGCGGTGCCACTGCTTGCACACCAGCGCTGCCGATGTGAACCTACAGTGCAGGAAGGCTGGGCAGCCCTCGCGTCTGCAGCCTCTCAGGACCCGGCTCTATTGCTTAAAGCAGTCAAGCTTCCCCAGCAGAATAGCCCGCTGAAGCACAGCGCTGCGCTCCTCCAGCAGCCACCTGCCCTGCGGTGGCCCCCTCACCTCTCCATGGAGGGCACTGCAGCAGCGCATCGTTGGGCAGCTTGGCAGCTCCTGCCGCAGCCTTTGGAGCTCCAGAGGGTGTCGTGGAGGATGCGGACATAGCAGCAGCCAGGAAAGCATTAGAGCAGCTTGAGAGGCTAGTCTTGTGAAGAGTAGACTGGCGGAGCGCCGGGAGGAAAGCGCGTCTCTGGGTGCAGCAGCGACGGCTGTCAGCACGGCTGCAGAGTCTGTTGTACTGTTTTGGGCTAGTCAGCAATGCTTCGATCCCTCCCCTCAATCATGTGCATGCATGAGGATGCAGAGGCTGCCTCCTGTGGGCGATGGTGCCCTGCAAACCCGTGCTGCCCGCTCGCCTCGCTGCCTGCCCATGCGCAGCTGTAATGCTGCAGGTGCTGGGGGAAAGGGCCTGTCCTCCAAGCTACCGTGCATGTGCGGGTGGCTGAGTTCATGCATGAGTGGATTGCAGATCGGCATGAGAGACCTGCCCTTCGGTGCGGCAGCAACGTACTGCCGGGGCGGGCGGGCGGTACCTGCCTGGCCTGGCGGCAGTCGCGGTGACGGATCGCAAAACTCGAAGTTCATCCACAATGACTCTTGCACCGGCAAGATGAGGGGCTAGCAGGATGGCGTTCCAGCCCCGCTCGAGAAGGCGCACTGGCGTGCAGCTGGCGCTGGCCCTGCTGATAATCCTGGTTCTGGGAGTGCTCAGCTTGTACATGGACACCAGCGGCATCCAGAAACGCACCGCGGCTCTGCACGAGGTGCGGGTGCCAGCCTTCCGAGCTCTGGGCAGGCCCCTTGTGAAGCCGCAAACATGCCCATGTGCTAGGTTGATGCCTGCTGCTTTACCGCCCAGCCTGCGCGCCGCTGCGCTATCTCACCGCCTGCCGCCACCTGCTGGCGGGCGGGCAAGACACTGCGCCTGAGACGGCACCATGCCTGGTGCCATGCTGCAGGAAGTCTTTCTGGCAAGTGGCGAGCCGGATGAGGACTTGGGTACGGTTGACCATGAGCCAGCCGAGCTGGCCGAAGTCGCAGAGGAACCGCGGCGCTGGGGGGCGGCCAACCCTGGCCAGCACAAGGGAGCGGTGCCAGAGGCGATCAAGCAGCGGTGCGCATTGACGCTGGGCACCTGGTGTGTGGACTACCTCACTCAGAAGGGCGTGCCCGCGGTGACGGCGCCGCGTGGCAGCAAGACCTGCAGCATGAACTGTAACAAGGCGAGTGCACAGGGGGATCAGCCACGTTCAGTCGGCTGGGGTTGAGCCCTGCTCTGTGCAGGCGTGAGTTTGCCATCGTGGGCCTTAAACACCCTCTCCTGCCCACTGCGCTGTGCAGGTTGGCGTGTGCAATGCCCTCACCGGCCACTGCACGTGCCCGGCAGGCAAGCCTGGGCTGCTGCCTGCTGCCGTGCATCCGCACTGGACCGCCGCTGCTTGCCACGATGCGCCTTTGCCGGCTCAGCTTGCCCTCATCCCTCCGCCTGCAGGCTGGCGTGGGTTCAACTGCATCCACCCCATGAAGCGGTACTGCACCCACAAGTACCGGGAGTGGGGTTTTGAGGTGGAAAGGACGCCTCCGCCTTGGGAGTATTTTGACTCCATGCACCCCCGCACGCACTGCGTAGGTGCGTCCGTCTGCCAGCGATGCAGCGGCTGAGACCAGGCTTCATGCTGGCTGGACAGCATTGGCAGCCTGCATCGCCCGGCTGCTCTGCAGCGCTGCAACCTACACACACTCGCACTGTCTAGTGGCCAATGAGAGTTGCAGTTGTGCCCAACCTCAGCTCTGATGCCATCCTTGTGGCCGCAGGGTTTTGCGAAGAGACCATTGGTGCCTGCTACTGCCCATCCAACACCACCTACGGTCGCATCCCTGCCCGGGAGGATGCGCCCATGGATGCCCCGCCGCAGCAGCACGGCCGGCCCATGAACTGGTGGTGCCAGCCCAACAACTCGTATGGCGGCACTCGGGCGTTTGAGGACATTTTCGGGCCCCAGGGCTGGTGCATGGCTGCAGAGCCGGTTATTGAGTGCGAGTGCAATGTGCCCGGCTGGGGAGGCAGGTTCTGCGACGAGCCAATGGAGCAGGTGAGCTGTTGCAACAGCAGCTCCAGCTGATGCACCTCTGATTCGCCCGCCGCTTCATCCAGAAGGGGTGGCAACAATGCTGCCCTGCCCTGCAGTTTTGCTTCAACTCCTGCAACGGGCGCGGGGAGTGCATCCAAGGGTATTGCAAGTGCCAGAAAGGTGAGTCAGTTGCCAGCTCAGCGCCGGACGCCGAAGGGGTGCTGCAGTCGCAGACAAAGGCTACGCCATCGCTGCACCACTTGCGCTCCCCTGCACTGCGGCTGCAGGCTGGCATGGGCTGGACTGCGCCCACCGTGCAGCTAGCAACACAGAAGACACACCTGGTGCGGCGTGGCTGCTCAGCCCGTTGCTCCAGCTGCCAACAGCCGGCTGTGGCAGGCGCACTGCCATGCCGAGGCTCGAGGCACTGAAGCCACTTGCTATGTTTTCTGGGGTGCAGGGTTGGAGCAGGAGCGGCCGTGGCTTGCGGAGAACATTCACACGCCCGCCGCCCAGGACTTTGCTCACAACGCCACTCGCAAGCGGCCGCTCATTTTCATGTCAGCTGGCAGCCGGCTTGGCATTGTCATGCATGCAAGCAGCCCAGCAGGCAGCCAGCGGGATTGCTTCTCACACGCTAGTCTGCCAGCCCAGCTCGAGGCTGCATCCTCTAAGCTTCTCTAGGGCTCCCCTTCTTGCGTGCAGCTACGAGCTGGAGAGCGATTATGGCAGCCTCATGATGCAGGTGGGGCGTGGTGTGGTGTTTGTTGGTGGCTTGGCCGGGGAACCTTTGCTCTGCCGACTGAGCGTCATGCCTCGTGCTGCAGTACCGCCACGTAGGCGGCCCCACAGAGGACTGTGTGCCCCGCCGCTACACGCTGCCCAACAACGAAACCAAGCTCTCAGAGTGGCCGTACGGGCTGGAAAGCGCATTCCTGGAGATGCTGATGCAGAGCGAGCACCGCACGCTGGACCCCGAAGAAGCGGGTGGGTAGGCGGATTGCTCTTCGCTGAACCTTGGGCAGCTGCACAGATTTTCCAATCCAGCAGCCGCACAATGCATATTCATTGTGTGCTGCCTGCAGACTTCTTCTACGTGCCTGTCTTCACCAGCTGCTTCATCTACCCCGTGCGGTCGGGAGCGTCCAGCCTGCAAGACTGGTTCTATGCCCCCGTCCAGAACAGGGTGCAGGGCGCAGCCAACATGCTCCTGGAGGCCTTCCACTGGATACAGTCGCACCACCCATGGTGGTGAGCAGAGCAGCGTGCGACAGGCGCGCTGCGACATGCTGTCAGCAGCATTGGCTGCCTCTTCATGCCTGCCCTGGCGTCTCGCCTCGTCCTGCCCCTCTGCAGGGAGCGGCGTGGCGGGCGGGACCACATCTGGCTGGTCACACATGATGAGGGCAGCTGCTGGGTACCGGCCGCCATCCGCCCCAGCATCATCCTGAGCCACTGGGGACGCATGGACCTGAACCACTCCAGCACCACAGGCTACTGGGAAGATGACTACAGGCAAGCCAACGCACGCAAGCTGCAGCATGCTGAGCAGCAGCAGCACTTGGTGTGAGCGGGCGAGGCCCCAACGGGCTGTCCCATGTCCACTACTGCCTGCGTCTTGGCAGCCGTGCTGATCAGTTGTGCCGGCAACTTTCTTCCACTGCTGCAGCTCCGAAATCAAGCATGATCAGGCAAGCTCGGTGCCGACTGGCTGCCAGCTGGGCGCTGCCCGCTGGCAGCGAGCACCTCAGACTGTGCTGTGCCCTGCTGCCTGCAGTTCGAGCCAGACGGCTTCCAGCAGAAGATTGCGGGGCACGCCTGTTACGACCCGGTCAAAGTGCGTGAGCTGGCAGGCTTGCCGCATCGATTCGGGGCGTGGTGCTGCTGCTGCTGGCTTTGCGAGGTGCCTGCCAGGAGGCGTCTTCTGAGCTCCGGCTCCGCAGCTGCCTGCACCTGGCGCAGGATTTGGTGGTCCCGCTCATCAAGACGCCCAACCGCAACAAGCACTCGCCCCTGTTTGGCGCGCCCACACGCAACCGCACCTGGCTGGCGTTCCACAGGGGCCGGGTGAGGGAGACCTGGCACTGCCCAAGAGGGCGTGCTCCTCTGACCCGCAGTCCTGGCTGCCCTGCTCGCCGCCGTGCAGCAACCGGTGCTGCGGCGGCGCCCTGCCTGCCTGCAGGTGAACCACGAGTTCCCAAGGTACTCGCGGGGCGTGCGGCAGCGCGTGGACAACGCCTCCCGGGAGCACCAGTGGCTGGAGAAGTACAACATTGCGGTTGGCAGGCAAGCTTGACCACCAGCTTCCAGCACCAGCAGCTGCTTGCAGCACAATGCTGCGCGGCGGTCAGGTTGTCAGCCGTTGCTGGTGGAGGGGCTGCTGTTGAGATGGGGGCGCTGCTGGGAACTTTGGTTGCAGCTACGGAAGCAAGTTTGGGGATGAGTCGCTCCAGGGCGACTACTCCGAGCTGCTGGCCTCCTCCATCTTCTGCCTGGTGCTGCAAGGCGACGGCTGGAGCGCGCGCATGGATGATGCCATGTCGCACGGGTGGGTGGTCAGGCCTGCTCGGGGCGCTGCTCACCTGTAACGTGGAGCTAGGCACGGCCAGGCGGCGCGCCGTGCCACTTGCTTGACATGCCAGCTGCACCCTTCCCCACCTGCAGCTGCATCCCTGTGGTCATCATCGACGATGTGCATGTTTCGTTTGAGTCTGTGCTGGACCTCAGCCAGTTCAGCCTGCGCGTCAAGTCTGCAGACGTCGAGCGGCTGCCCGAGATACTGCAGGCGGTGAGCCAGGAGCGGCGGGAGGAGCTGCAGCGCAACCTGGCGCGCGTGTGGCAGCGCTACTCCTACTCCAGCTGGCGCCCCTACGCCAAGCGCATCCGGCAGCTGCAGCAGGAGCGGGGCAGCGAGGCACGGCAAGAGCAGCCGCTGTCGCTGCCGGAGACGGTGCCCGACCTGGATCCCTTGCTCGATGACGGCTTCTACACCATCATGGGCTGGCTGTACAGCAGAATAGATGCCACGTAGCGGCAACCTGCATGGTGTCTTCAATTCTTCTCACACTTGCTTCAGCCATATTAACCAATTCTTGTCAATTTGTCCACCCGATCACACGGCGCGGTGTATCCCCGGCGGCACTAGCACCAAAAGCCAGTCAGCGCCGTAGCATCAAAGTCATGCTGACCCCATCCTTTGTGTCAGGCCTTGCTGGTGGGGGTCAGTTGCCAAGCTCTGGATTATGAGCCACTCGCCTCGTCGGCCGCCGCCACACTGGCGCCACCTGCCCTTCCACCTTCCACAACTATACTCGAAGGCCGCGGCAATCATTACTACCCAGGCCTTTTCATTCTGTGACACTACACGCCGTTAGCCTCCCCATCCGCTCGACCATTTCCGATCAGTGCTATGGATGAGGTCTATGTGCTCAGCAGCGATGAAGAGGAGGATGCGGAAGTGCCGTCGTGCTCAGGCATGTCGAGCAGTCCCGCCGGCGCGGTTTCCCGGGGGTAGACCCGGCTCGCCGCCGCCACGGCTGCCGCCTCGTGCGCCTCGTGCCACCGTGTTGCATTCCACTGACTTGCCTAACCTTGTTTTCCCTGTGCAGGATGGGAATGCGTGGCATGCACCTTTCTGAACCCCCCCGCATACCTTGCATGCAACGTGTGTGGCACGGAGCGCCGCAACCCTAACGCCGCCGGCGAGCCATCTGTCGCGGCAGCGGCTGCGGCAGCGGCAGTGGCACCTGCAGCAGGCGGCCAGCAAGAGGACGAGGAGCGGCAGGCAGATGCCGGGCGCAGCACCTGGAAATGCGGCGCATGCACTTACCGAAACCGCGCGGGCGTGGGCGCCTGCGAAATGTGCACCGCCGCAGCGCCGGGAAGCACCCAGGTGGCGCCGGACCGTAGCGCTGCTCAGGCAGCAGCAGCAGCCTCAGCGTCAGCTAGGCCTCCAGCACTGGCAGCGCTGTGCTTCACCCAAGCTGCGCTAGGGCGAGGGAAGGCAGGTCCCCAGCTGACTGGGGACTTCACCCTGGATTGCGGATGCCGCCTGCCGGCAGCAGAGGCGCAGGAGCGCCTGCAGCAGGCGGCAGCCGCGCTGCCATCCACCCTACCCGCCCTCGCGCGCCACTTCCTCTGCACGCGCCAGGTGCGGGGCCTGCACCGTTCGCCACGCGCCATGCTTCTGTGCCCGCGCGCTGCAAGCAGTGGCGCGGTGCCGCCCTGCGCGAGCAAATCCCTGCCGACCCGGCCCCACCCACCCACCCAACCCAATCCTGCTCCCCCTCCACCTGTCTTGCTCGCCGCTCGCTGCAGCACTGCCGCCAGCCGGTGACCCGGCGAGACCTGGAGGCGCTGCTGGGGCGGGACAAGGCCGCCAAGGTATGCTGCTGCCACCAGCTGCCTGCGCCAAAGCCCCACCCTCACCAGATGCTGCCGTCAGCCACCTGAAGCACCACGCTATGCCCGCTGGGTTGAGGGTGTCCCGGCGTTATGGCCTGCAGGTGGATGGCCACATGTGGACTGTCGCTGCTGCCGCAGCAGGCACGTCAACAGCAGCAGGCGCAGCAGCGAGAGCCGGCCACACGCACGAAGCAGCGCCTGCAGCCGAAGACGGGGGCAGCGACGGCGACGGCGTTGTGGACCTGGCTGGGTCTCCTGGTGCTGCTGCGCCGCCGCCGCCACGGGCTGAGCTGGCGGCAGCAGGGCCAGAGGCGGATGGTGATGCCGGGCTGCGTGCCGCGGAGCACTGTGCCGAGCTGGCAGGCCTGCTGCTGGGCCTGCACAGCGTGCTGGTGGAGGGCAAACTGCCTGCTGCACCATCAGCGCCAGAACCAGCCGAGGCCAGCAAGCAGCAGCGGGGAGGCGGCAGGCAGCGAGGGAAGCGGCGCGGCGCTTCAGAAGCGGCAGCAGCGGCGCCAGCGGCACCAGAAGCGCCCCAGGCAGCCCAGGCCACTGGCGGCGGCAAGCGCCGTGGCCGCGCAGCGCAGCCGGCAGGCGCTAAGCCCGTGCAGCCCTGGCAGCAGCCGCCGCCGTGGGCTGGAGCCGCGGCAGCTGCTGGGGCAGCAGGGTATGCAGGATGGGAAGGCACGGAGGATGAGTATTATGAGGAGTACTATGAGGAGGAGGAGGAGGGTGCGCGGCAGCAGCAGCTGCAAGGTGCCATATTGCTGTGCCACATCAGGGAGTCAGGCAGATGCTGGCTGCTGCACACCTGATACGGCTGTGTGCTATGTCGACCTGCTGCAGGCCTCGACTTTGATGGGTATGAGGATGAGGAAGATGAGGAAGAGGGAGGAGGCGCGGGAGGCGCCTTTGGCTCCGTCTGGGGCGTGCTGGGGAGCCTGTATGGCGCCTGGGGCGGCTGCTACGGCGGCCCAGGCGGTCGCTACGGCGGCAGAGGAGGCGGCGGCGGCCGGGGTGGCGGCCGGGGCAGCCCGGCGGCCAAGCGACCCAAAGGTTTGAGCAGGACGGTTGCCGGGGCCCTACTTGTGCTGCCATGACTTCCTCCCAAGCGGCTGTTTGCGGGGAGGCGGGCCCCCGGCGCACATGCTGCGCTGCTTGCCTGCACGCAGGCGTGGGCTTCGGTGGCAGCCACGGCCACGGAGGTGGCGACACGAAAGATTCCCGCAAGCGGCAGGCCGACGCGGCGCAGAAGCAGCAGCAGCTGGACGCTGCCGCCGCCGGCCTGCTGCGGCGGCTGCGCCAGCGCCTGCACAGCTGGGCAGGTTGGCTGGGCCGCGCTGCCTGCACCATTTCCTGGGGTGTACTGGAGTGTTGCATCTGGCGCTGGCGCTGCCACCTGGCATGCCATGCTCAGCGCGACCGCCCGCTGAGCTTCTGCTTCGCTTCCCTCCTGCCCGCGCCCTCGCCGCGGCCCGTGCCTGCAGCAGCAGCGCAGGAGCGGCTGCAACCGCTGCCCCTGCCGCTGCTGGGGGTGGCCCGTGGCGGGCCTCTGGCCCCGCTGCTGCGCCTGCTGCTGCACAACGACTCGCTGATGGATGTGTCGTCCCGCCGCCAGCTGTACAGCGAGGTGTTCAGCCTGGCGGCCGCGCTGGCAGGTGGGTTGGCTGGGGTGCTGTGAATTTGCGGCCTGCAGGTGCCGTTCATACCTGGTTGTCAGGGCTCGTAGCTCGGCACTGCGCCGCGAGCTATGCCCCGCTGTGTCGCTGGTGGCGTGTTGTCTGCCATGCCGCCAACATGCTGTGCCGCCCTCTCCGCCACCGCAAGCAGTTGACGCCCAGCTGCCAGTGGCTATGGCGGGGCCCCTTGCCTGCAGAGTCCCTGGACCTGCTGCCGCTGCTGCTGCAGCCCGCAGACAGCGATCTGCTCAAGGCGGGGGCCAGCGCCGCCCAAGCGCCGCCTCTGGCGCAGCAGGAACAGCGGCAGCAGCAGCAGCAGGAGCAGCAGGGGCAGGAGCCAGAACAGGGTGAGGAGGAGTCTGAGGAGGCGCGGCAGAGCAGCCGTGCCAAGCGCCCCCGCCGCGGCAGCGGCAGCGCCAGCCGGGAGGCGAAACCAAAGTCCCCGGCAGGGACGGGTGCAGCTGCTGCGGGTGCGGCTGCAGCCGGGGCAGGAGCTGCGGGCGAGGCGCCTGCCCCAGCAGGGGACACCAGCTGCTGGAATGCCCTTCAGGTGAGCAGTGCAGGCCCTCGGCGCGCTGCCCTCCACGCCCAGCCTCCTGCTCCCCGACCCGCTGCGCTCCTCCCTCCTCCTCCTCCCTCCCGCCTCCCTGCCCGCCGCAGGCGCTGCGCCTGCAGGCCGACATCTTCCGCCGCAATGCGGAGCAGCTGGCTGCGGAGGGGGATGAGGAGGATGTGGCGCTGGTGGGAGCCATCCTGGATGTGTCAGAGTGCTGCCAGCGGGTGCAGGAGGTGCGTCGGGCAGGTGGTGGAGTGTCATGCGTGGCAGCGAGGGGAGTGTGGCGGTGGGAGCGTTGTGTGAAGGGCGCGCTTGTTCACTTGCAGCACGCATGCCGGGGCAGGGTGCGTCTTGCCCGCTTGCTGGAGCCTGCCGGCCAGCCCGCGTCCCATCTGCTGGCTGCCTTTGCTGTGCCTGCCTGCCCCCACACAGTCGGTGGAGCTCTGGCTCTCCAGCACCCGGCAGCAGCACGAGGGGGAGGAGCAGCAGCAGCAGCAGGAGCAGCGGGAGGCCGGCGGCGCGGGGGCGGGCGGCAGCGCCGCCAAGCAGCAGCGCCAGCAGGCGGGGCCCTCTGGCACGGCTGCTGCGGTGGACTCTCCCGAGCTGCGCCAGCAGTACGAGAGCTGCCTGAAGCCGCTGCTGTTCCAGAGCACCCAGCTGGTGGCGGAGCACTACTACCGAAAGGAGGCCTGCCAGGCCGCGCAGGGTGAGGGGCCCGCCGCCGCCCGCCGCCGCCTGCCGCCTGCACTGGGCTGCGCTGTGGCACCGTTGGGCTGCCGGCGGCAGCTTCACTGCGGTGGTTCAGACGGCCTGCGGATGGAATGTCCCGACTCTGAGCTGCCAGCACTACATCGAGCCGCCCTTGGCTGTGTTCCCCTGCTGGGCCCGCCCCCCACACATCGTTCCCTGTCGTGTATGCGTCGTGCCGGCAGGCGGCGTGAGCGACCGGCTGCGGCGCATCACCAAGGAGGTGGCCACGCTGGCGGGGCAGCTGCCGCTGACGTGGGAGAGCAGCGTGCTGGCTGCCATGGATGATGACCGCATGGATGTGCTGAGGTGGGGTGGGTGGGGTGGAGGGGGAGGAGGGGGTGTCCCGCACGCCTGCCAGGACGGCAGCCGCAGCGGGCTTGCTGATGTGCATGCCTCACAGCAGGCCGCAGCACGTGCCGCTTCCCGGGCACACCGCCGCCGGCCCCACGCCCCTGGCCAGCGCTTCATGCCCTGCGCTCTTGTGACCTCCTTTCTTTCCACCTCCAGGGCTGTGATTTTTGCGCCGCACGACACACCCTACGCCAACGGCGCCTTTGCCTTTGACATCCTCCTCCCTCCAGACTACCCCAACCACCCGCCAAAGGTCAGCACTCTGCACGCTGTGCACGCTTCTGCCAGCGCCCAGGGCGGCTGTGCCGCGTGCCTGGTGGGCCTTATGGCGGTGTCCCGCCGTGCAGGGGCCTGCCGCTGAATATGAGAAACATACAATAAACACCTGTTGGCCGCCGCCGCCGCCGCTGCAGGTCCAGTTCCTCACCACTGGCGGCGGGCGAGTGCGGTTCAACCCGAACCTGTATGAGCAGGGCAAAGTGTGCCTGTCGCTTCTGGGGACATGGTCTGGGCCCGGCTGGCAGCCCGGCCAAAGCACGCTGCTCCAGGCAAGCAGCGCCTCCCAGCAACCCTCCGTCAGCCTGCTGCCGCTGCTCCTGCGGGGGCTGGTGCCCGCTCAGCTTCCGCCTGATCCCTCTGGGTGGCTGCCATGCAGGTGCTCGTGTCCATCCAGTCGATGATCCTGGGCACGGCAGAGCCCTTCTACAACGAACCTGGCTTTGCCGGCATCGAGGGCACAGCAAGGTGACCACCGCTTGCCAACCCCTGCCTGCCTGCCTGCCTGCCCATCCGCGTGAGCGCTCGGCTTGGAAGTGTGCAAGCAACACGTGTTGCTGGGTGCAGGGGCAACCAGGAGTCCCGCAAGTACAACCAGGGCCAGCGGCGCAACACACTGCAGGTGGCCATCCTGGGGCAGCTGCAGAAGCCGCCGGCGGGCTTTGAGGAGGCGGTCAGGTGAGGGGGAGGGACGCCGTGCCGCGGCCTTTCGGCAGCACCGGGTGCGCCGCCCGTGTGTGGTCTGATTCCGTGCTGCCGGCGCTGTGCTTTACCATCGTGCGGTGCTGTGCCTGCTGCTGCCCGATGTGCCTGCAGGCTGCACTTCAGGCTCAAGGCTGGCGTGATCAAGGAGCAGGCGCGGCGATGGGCGCGTGAGGACCCATCGCTGAAGCAGCTGGTGGGGCAAGTCATCTCGGAGCTGGATGCGCTGCCGGCAGTGCCATAGCGCCGCTGTATTTTTAAATTTTGAGCATGAAAGAGTAGAGAATCACTTGGAATATGGTAAATGTGGAGACAGAGGCGGCTTGCAACCTCGGCACGCCTTCCCGCCGCAGCCGCGGTCTGGAAGAAAGCGCGACCAACAGCTGTCTGGTTGAATGAACTCGGCTCGCTCTTTCAGTGGCTCGTCTTCCCCTTTGCATTCCATTGGCCTGCTTCTACGGTCCTCCCTGGCCTTCCCACTGCCCACGCTCGGTTCTCACACACGCCTTCTCCCAACCATGCACTGCTGCCAGGCCGTGGCCCTGGCCCTCACGGCCGCCCTGCTGCTGGTCTGCGGGCCTGCGAGCGCTCGCCCCCTGAGGCAGGACGCTGTGGGCAACTCCACAGCTGCTAACCCCGAGCAGCTGACTGCGTCCTCCTCCGTGTCTCCATCTGCTCGCTCGACCACCAGCACTGCAGGTAAGGTCAGGGGATGGGCGCAGGAGGCTATAGGCCTGGCGCCGCCAGCGACGTTTGAAAAGTGCCGCCGCTGCCCCCGCCCACTTGCACGCAGGTGCTGCTTTCCCCACCCTGCCCCAGTCCAGCACTCCCCTGCACCCAGCTGAGAAGTCCACCTCTCTTGATGGCACGCCCTTCAGCAAGCCCGCCACCACGGCAGGCTCAGCTCCCCGCTCTGTCTCCGCCGCCGCGGACGCTGCCTTTGCTCACCCCGCCTCTCGCCGTCCAGCCGATGCCCTGCCCTCCTCACGCAAGCGGGAGCAGCATGATGCCACCACCGCCTCGCCCAACGCTGCCTTCTCATCGGCCGCCCGTGCCGTGCCAAGCAAGGCATCTGGCTCCAGCAAGCCCGCCTCACCCGCCCACCCGTCTCCCACCGCCACTTCACCTATCGGCCCCACCTCTCCTCCCAAGACCTCCCCTGCCCCGACCGCCACCCACACCACCACCTCTCCAGCCGTCGGCACCACCAGCTCAGGTGCCCTCCTGTGCCCGCCCGCCTCCTCGGCACCCTGGCCATGGCATGCCACCTGACCCAGCTGCCTACCGACCACCACTGCTCTGCTCCTGCCGCCTGCAGGCACCACCGCACCCGACGTCTCCCATACCCCCACGCCCAGCTCCACCCCAACCCCCAGCTCCAACACTACCCCCGCCCCCAGCTCCACCACCGCCCCCACCCCGCCGGCAGCAGCCGACGACGGCTCCTCCGGCTGCCCAGACGTGCAGGCCGCACTCGACGCCCACAACGCAGCGCGTGCCCGCCACGGCGCCCAGCCGCTGACCTGGAGCAGCAGCCTGGCGGCCGCTGCCCAGAAGGCCTCCGCCAGCTGCGTCATGCAGGTGTGTGTGGTGGGGGGGCGGACGCTGTGCCTGGGGATAGCCAAGCGGTTTGCCGTCGAGCAAAGCCGCGGTCCAGCCTGCGTCTCGCCCCTAGGAGCGTGCCACCGCCCGAGGATCCCTGCCGACCCACCCTGCTTGCCCCCCGATGCCCCTGCCCTGCAGCACACCAGCGGCGGCGAGAACCTGGCCATCGGCGTGGGCAGCTGCAAGGCCGCCGTCAGCCTGTGGCTGCAGGAGGAGAGCCTCTGCCCCAACGGCTGCGACTGGGATGCCTCAACTGGCCACTTCACCCAGGTGAGCCCCACCCTGCTGCCGCCGCCGCCGCCGCCTCGGAGCCTTTGGCGGCGCCTCCCACCGGGGCCCTGGCTCCAGCGCTGTCCAGGGTCCCACCGCAGCCTGCCCCCTCCCTGCTGTCCTGAAGGTGGTGTGGAAGGCTACCACGGAAGTGGGCTGCGGCTTCCAGGCGTCCTGTGGCTACGTGGTGTGCCGCTACTCGCCTGCGGGCAACGTGCTGGGCTGGTTCGGCGCCAACGTCTCCTGAGCCTCCTCCCGGCGCTGGCGCCCCTGAGCACTGCTGCAGCTAACCAGGGCCGCCCGCGTGCAAGCCCCAATACCAGATGGCCACAGCGCACCTTGCTCCTGCAGCTGTTGCCATCTGCCCGCCCCCTTGCGGCAGCAGCCTGCCACTGCCCTTGCACTGCGGGGCACCCTGCTGCCGCCCACCCTGCCATGTGAAACGCCAGCTAACGTCAACAGTACACAGTGGACAGAGCGCTGCCGACAAAGACATACTGGTGTTGTTTGATAATAGAATAATTCAAGGGGTGGTGGCTCTGTGTGCACGTACGTGCAGAAAAATGGGCGGGCCGCAAGGTACAGGACACCCGATGATGAAGGGATGCAGCGGTGGGAGGTACATCATGTCAAATGCCGAGGGCTGAGAGCCGCCGGTTGGGTGGGGGTGGTTGTGTTTTGTGTGTTGTGTTTGCCCTTGACGGCCCAACTTGGGAACCTTGTTGTGTTTGTGGTGTTTTTCAGCAGAGGCTAACCCTCCGCCTCGGTGCGGACTCGCAGAGGCCCCAAGGGCCAGCCACGAGCCGCCGCCAGCAGTGCCGCCAGCAGTGCCGCCAGCAATGCCGCCGCCCCCGCACTCTGCTGGCGCGGGGCCTCACTCCTCTCCCGCGGGCTGGAACAGCAGCACCAGGGTGGCCACGGAGAAGAAGCAGCCCAGGGAGAAGACCAGAATGGGCAGTACGATGTCGTACCCCACCGTGATGGCGGCGTGGGAGCGGGGCTTGCGGTACATGAACATCAGCCCGGGCGGCGCGCGCGGGTCGGGGATCATCTGCGACTCGGTGCGCTGGCCCAGCGAGGGCTCCTTCCCACCGTCCACAGACAGGCCCTCGGTGCCCGCGCCCACCGAGCCGTCGGCTGCGCCGCCGTTGAGCGGGGACTCCAGGTCCGCGGCCCCCACCTCCTTCTTGACCTCGAGCTCCCCGCTGCTGGCAGACTGCGGCACGCGCATGCACCGCGCCCTGTAGAGTAGGGGAGGGAGCGGCAGGCACGAAAGGTGGGCTGGGCCTGGCGTGCACACATGGACTGAGCGGGAGCACACGCGCTGCACCCCGCACTCACTTTCCAAAGTAGAGCACAAAGTGGAAGATCACGGGCAAGATGTCTGCAGCAGGCGGGTGAAAGACAGCGCTGGTGGTCAACCAGCTGCTCGGCCTCTTCTCTGTCCGACAGTGGCGATTCCGATCCAGGGCATGCATTGAAGGGGCACCAGGCCTGCAGTGCACACTCACAGGAGCACATGGCCACCCCGGTGGCGCCGGTGAAGGACAGCACGGTGCCGCTCTCGCCCGGCACGCCCAGCGCGACGCCCAGGCAGGGCAGGATGGTGCAGCAGTTGACGATGAAGCGCTGCACCCAGGGCCGGCTCAGCCCGCCAAAGCCGCGCGGGAACACGCGCAGCAGCCAGCTCTCCACCGTGTGGTTTGTGGCGTGGAAGATGGGGGGAGTGGAGATGGCCAGGTAGACTGCAGGGAAGAGCGGGGAGGCGCACTCAGGCGGTGCCAGGGGAGTGCACGGCATGCGGGCCTGGCTTGCCAACCGCCCGCTGGCCTGACCTCCCACCCCCACCCCCTGCCAGCCGGCGGCCGGCTGCGGCAGCAGGCCTCACTCGTGACCGCCAAGTTGAGGATGAAGGTGCCCACACCGGGCAGCCATTCGTTCTCCAACAAGTTGTCGGAAATGTTGGTGGCACCATACCTGCAGAGGTGGGCAGCGCCCAGCGGCAGCGAGGTGAAGGAAGGGAAGTGGCGAGGGCGTGGAGCCAGCGGCGGCACGTGCGGAGGTCAACGGCACGCTGCGGCCTGCTGTCAGCGCTGCGGCGGCACATGCCCCGGCTTCCCGCTCACATGGCCGCGCCAAAGAAGCCGGTGACCCAGTATGTCAGGCCGGATGTGAGCAGGATGGTGATGGCGGAGGCCTTGTTGAGGTCCTTGGCGCTGCGCTTGGCAGCCTCGCTGGTGACGCGCGGCATCTCGCTCAGCAGAGGCATCATCATCACCTGCCGCCCCGTGGAAAGGCAGCAAAGAGGTGAGCAGTGGGCAGCAGCAACGGCAATGGCAGCAGCAGTGGTGGCAGCGGGTGCTCATCCTGTCGCGGCAGGCGCCTGCCAACCGCCAGACAAGCAATGCACCTAGCTGCCGAGCTCGCACCTGGTGGTAGAAGGCGAAACAAAACAGGGAGAACGTTTCCGACACGCTGGCTGCACGGCAGGGGCAGCGGCAGCCGGCGCGGTACCTTGGCATCGCAGGCACGCCTTCCTTGTTGCAGTACGGTCTGACAAACGGAGGTGCCCCGGCGCGGCTGTGGCACGCTCCATCAAAGCAGGCGTATCAGAGCTGACACCCAGCAGCTGCAGCTCACTCAGGTCATTTGATGACACCTTTGGGAAGTCGCCGTCTGCGAGGGCGGGTAGCCCCTCGATGCACGACTTGACCATCACGATGCCAGCCAGCACCCAGAGGATGATGGAGCCAAAGGCGCCCACCAGCTCCAGCTTCCGCATCTGGGGCAGCATGCAGAGCGGGAAGATGACGCAGAGGGTGAAGAAGAGCATGGCGGCGGTGCCTGCAGCATGGGAGCAGAAGGGGGCACAAGCAGGGTGGCGTGTGAGGGCTCTGGGGACGGCGGCGTCTGGGTCATGGGTGACGCGCTGCGCCGCAGCTTGGCCTGGGGTTTCTGCGCTCTCAGCTCACCGCTGCGATCCCACAGCCAGTTCGGGGCATCGGGCCACTGGGAGCTGATGGCAAACCCAAAGGATTCTCCCATCTGGATGATGGCGCCTGCAGGCGGGGGCAGCAGGCCATGGCAAGATGTTCAGGTGCTTGGTTGTGCCACAGCGGGCGTTTACCCTCCCCTCCTGCCTGCCACCACGCCTGTGCGCTCACCAATGTTGGTGCCCACCAGCAGCAGCACGATCCATATCTCGCTCCACAGCTGCAGCAGGCGGCCGGGAGGACAGGGAGGGGTGGGCGGGTGCACAGGCGGGGCCGATGCCGGCAAAACCGTGCATTGAAGGAATGCTGGCAGGCGGCCGGCAAGCCTGGGATATTCGGTGCCTGACCAGCAGGCAGGCAGGCACCTTGCCCGCTGCCAGTGGCGGGTCGTGGCATGCTGCCAGTGTGGCAGCCCCAGGCAGCCCCCCAGCCCCCAACATTCACCCGTGCCCAGAAGCCGCCGATGGCAAAGGCAAGCTGCTCATAGTCGCTGGCGCCGGTGGACGTAGCGCCCCTGCAGCGGCATCACAGCACAAGCAATCAGGCAGGCAGGCAGGCACGCAGGCAGGCAGGGATGCGCAGCGTGCGTGTGACACCATCATGTGTGCATGCCACTCCCTGCATGTGTGGTGCTGGCTGCGAGTGCCGCACCTCAGCAGCAGGCGGCAGGTGTACACATTCGACAGCGCCACGAACGTAATCATGAGAGTACTCGCAACAGCACCTGCAGGGGCAACAAGCGCATTGTAACCAATAACGCCTGGCGCGGGGGGCAGCCAGCACACGCGCGCCAACGGCAGCAACTCACCAGTGATTGCAAATGCGTAGGGGATGGGGAGAATAGCACTGCAGGGGACTCAGAGGCTGGCTGTGAGCATCAAATCGAAACAAACGACGAAGGAGCCTGTGGCAGGGCGCAAGGGGGCGCAAGGGAAGCGCCGCCAATCCGCCGACCGCCTGCAGGCGCCACCGGCTGGCCCCTACTCACTTGCCGACCGTCGCCAGCGTCAGGACACAGACTGCCGTCATGATTTGGCGCCATGATGTGTTCTTCTGGCCGAGACCTTCGACAGCAAAAGCCATGGTGGCTTAGCACTGCAGCGGCGGCAGGCGGCAGCAGTGGTGGGAGGGGCCAGCCCTAGCGGCAGAAGTTAGGGCAGCAAGGCGGCATCAGCGGCCCCTCGGTTTGTGATCTTGTGCGTCTCAACAGCAAACCAGCGTGGTGCCGCGGCCCGCGGTGCGTCCTGACAACTCTGGCCCCCTGCTGCCCTAGCTGCTGGGGCGCGGGCACCAGGACAGCGCTTGCAGCGCCTGCGAAACCTCGCATGTGCTTAACAGCACCTTATGGATGCTCACCGACGGCGAGCGGCGCCTGCAAGCTCCTCCCGACAGCACAATTCGGGCGTCCCCCGCGAGCAAGATGGCTGTTGGTGGCGTTGTGGGACCTAGCCTGCTGAGAAGAAGGCGGCGTGCTTGTCGGGGAATGAGCAGATCGGCTTCCTGGTAGTGTGCGCTCTGCCCCCGCGCGCGGCGTAACGCTGAGTCAGAGTTCCCGCAGCAGTAATAGAAGGCCTGGCGGGGCGGTGGCATGTGTTGCCCCCTGATGTGGCACCCTCCCGATTGGGCAACCCCCGCCCCCGCTCGCTCCTGGCAGCCCGCGCGGCGCTCCCCTCCCATACGTGAACTGACCCCATAGAGCCATGTTTGAGGGTTGAGCGGGGCGGAGCGGGGCTGCTTGCACACGTGATGGCATGCACGCTTCAACGCTCCCGCTGTCATCTCACCTCTCTAGCGTCAGAAATACAACTCTTACAAGCCAACCAACACGAACAGAGAGACCGAACAACAGAAATGAACAGGAAATATGAAGCCGCCACAGGCGGCAGCACCTTTCAGCGGAGACGGCAAAGCGTACAAGGCACACTTCTTCAATGGTTCTTGCAATTGCCACCCTTACCGGTTATACAGCCACAGTGCCGCCCACACCGCGCACCATTCTTCTTGCAGCTGCAGTTCCGGGTGCAGGCGCCGCGGCAGCCGCAGCGCACGGCTGCCTTGCCGCCGCCGGGCTGCGCCGCCATCGCCACATTGAGAGACACCACAGGCACTCCTCGCTGCGCCGTGCCGCTGAAGGTCAGCTCGCTGGCCAGGCTGGGTGGCGCCTTAGATAGCCTGCTGGCCTGATGCATACCCTCCACCACTCCAGCTCCGCTCCGCAGCCGGTACATGGTCACGCCAAAAGGCCGCTTGATCTCCACCACGCGGCACACGATGCGGTTGCGGCCCAGCTGCTTGCCCACTTTGCCGCGCTTCGGCGGCAGCAGCAGCACGTCATCGCCCACAGCAAAGTCCTTGGGCTCGCCCTTTGGCCTGCGCTGTGCTGCGATCCGCTGGCGGTTCTTCACCTGAGCCGCCGCCACTCGAGAGCGGGTGGCCTGCAAGTGTGCTGGCATGGGCGGGTGTGGTGCTGCCAGCGTGCCGCCCTCCTCCGCCTCTGCTGCTGCCTGCTCCTCCTCCGCCTCTGCTGCTGCCTGCTCCTCCTCCGCCTCTGCTGCTGCCTGCTCCTCCCCCGCCTCCGAAGCTGCTGCCGCAGCCGCCGCTGCCAGCACTGCTATGCGGTTGCGGCGCTGGCCAGCAGGGCTGCTAGTGGCAGCGGTGCGCTGTGGCAGCTGCCGCATGGGCAGCACCTCCTCCGCATCCTCCAGCTCGTGCTCCATGGCCAGTACGGCGATCAGGCCCGCAGCGGCTGCCCGCTGGCTGCTGCGCCGAGCAGGAGCCTCCCCCTCATCCATGGCCGCCGCAGCAGCTGCCACCTCCGCTTCATCGGCCAGCTCTGCCTCCACAGCGCTGCGCTTGCGGCCGGTGATGGGCGCCCAGGCTGTGGGGCGGCGTGCAGCTGTGCGGGTGGTTGGCACTGCGGGGCTGTCGTCCACGCCCTGCTCCATGTCCATCTCCTCG